CCCGCCCTTTCTCCTTTCTGTCGAGGAGGCGGATTTAATCTTCCATGACAAGCTTCCCTCGAAGATGAATGGCGAACGCAGCAGCAGCTGCTGTACCAAACGACGGACGGTCAAGCGCGCTGAGAAATCACTCGAAAGTATTTCGGCCAAATTTTCTTTCAGGCATTCACGTGCACGTGCACCTGCTTCGTCAAACTGAGCGAAGCTTTTTCCACAGCCGCCGGCACGACTCACGTACGTTTCAAACCGCCAGCGCCATTTTCTTGGGGGGTGACAAAAAACTTTTATTGCATGACGAGCCGCTTTGACACGCTGCGCCGCCCGCTCCAGGAGACGGTGGCACAGCGGCAGCGTCGTCGTCGCCGCCGCCGCCGGTCAATTTACCGTCCTTTGAAGTCGTTGTCGGCACGGCCTTCCAATAAAGCCGAAAAGTAGTAACGTCGACAGCAGCAGCGCGGCCGGCTACCAGCAGGCTGTGACTCCCTCCCCCCCCTCCCTTCCACCTCTCTCTCTCTCCCTGGCGTAATAAGCCTACATTATGAGAATATTCATGTCTAACGAGGCTCCTTTCAACTAGCCGCAGCTGCAGCCGGCGGCAAGCGCGACGTGGCGTAGCGTGGACCTACAAAGAGGAACCTCCTCTGCATCCACCCCCTCACCAATCCACCTCCTCCCCCATCCACCCATTTTTCCATCTTTCTCCCTCTCTGCTCACTAACGAGAGTGTTAAACCCTCTGATAGTTTTGCTTTCTATTTGAACAAGCTGCTTTAATGCTGCGAGCTGTTTAAAGCACAAAGCTTCTTTTTCATCACCCCCGCCCCCTCCTTTCTTTCCCTTCCTTTTTGCTACCTCTACTCTGCTCCATATTTATGACACCTACCTACGACGTTGAGCGTGACGAAGTGGCTCATCTTGGGCTCCGTGCTGACTTGACACTCGTACTCGCCCTGGTCTCTCGCCTGGACGTATTTAACCTGCAGCAACAATAAAAGTCGATATCAGGATTGTGCTTAGTCTACGTTTTTTTTAACGAAGAACTGAAATTTTAGGCATAATTAGAGGAAATAACTTGAAAAATAAATTGAGGTTTCATAGTTATGTACTCTGGAAAACTTTTTGGTGTGAGTCTGCCTCACAACTGAGTTTCCAGAGTGAAAGAACCGTTAAAAGTTCCCAATTTGGCATTTTAAACATAAAATGATTAATCGAAAAAACAAAAACCAAAGAGTATGTATCGTTATCGTTAGGGATTGTGTTAAAAGAATATCCGATTTTCTCAAATTCATTCGATTTGTGGAGCTCGGCGCCTGTGAGACTCAGAGTAGCCCAGCCCGCAGTACACGCATGCACCGCGGGCAAGATTTTGCATACCCATCAGGCGCTATGAGAGGTTGCATAGGCTGCAATCGAGAGGTTCGTTGGGGGTAATGACCTACCCGACGTGCTTTCTGGATGATCCCTTACCTGGAGTGTCCACGTCTCTGTGCCCTCGACGATGAAGCTCTGAAACCTTTCGTCGGCGATAAATGTGTAGTGGTCCACAGTTAAAATGTGGGCATCCCTCTTCCGAATCCATGAAACCTGAAACAAATCAAAGAGCAGAATGTCAACAAACAGAACCTATATTTTTCAATCGACTACGTCTAAATTGTTCAAGTCACACAGCATTTCCTTTGCAGGCTTTAAAAGAATCCGATTGTTTTGTATTACGAAACATTGCTTTTTCCTACAAAGGACTAGTCTTTGTCTTCCAAGGAAACATGTTTCACATTACATAGCCAGTGCTTTGTAAGCTGCGAAGCCGGGCCTTTCTTTGTAATATGATGCTTCTGCACATTTAAAAGTGTACAAGTCTTGACAATGGAGGACTTTTGGTTGAGTGTTGTTGGTACAATTTTGGTAGAGTGCGTTGAACTTTCAAACTCTGAACCAAAACTCAAATATTCGGACGGTATACGAATACGCGGGCCGCCGACCCGATCGCTGACGGATTCAAAGACTAGGCGTAGGCGCTTCGCCTCCGCGCCACGCCACAACCGAGACCACCGCCGCCCTCGCCTCAGTGCCACTCGCTCTCCGCCTTTGCCCCGTCAGTGACGACACTGACGCTCCCCAGCGCCGCCCTGGAAGGTTAAGGTGTTTGCCTTTGCCTGTGACGCCCCCTAACCTCACTCCCCCGCCCTCAAAGAAACAGATCAGCGTCGCTCCGCCCTCGCGACATTTCAGCAGACACGGCGTCCCATTTGCCGTGAAAAGAACGCTGGGGCGAGTGATAGGTTCTCTCTTTTTGGAAGAAAGAGCGGGTTTGTTTGGGATGCCGCTCGCGGCTACTCTGCAAATCTAAGTTCAGAACTGTTGTAAATGGCCAACACTTTGTTCTGCAGTAGGCGAATTAGTTCAACCGGCATAGATTGAAAAAGTTCGTCAAGAATAGCTGAACTGCGTGCATTTTTGGCTAATATTTCCTTTTAGATGGATAACAGTGGAAAGTGTCTAGCATTTCCAGATTTCTCGTGAAAAGAGCTTTCAAACGAGCTACCGTGTGATAGGGTTCTCTACCGAAATGGGCCATCTTTTGAAAATGTCGGTGTTGTTAACCAAGTTATGTCAGTGAACAATGTGAACCCTATCACATAGTGACTCGTTTGAAGGCTATTTTCTCGAGGATTCTCGAAATGCTATCCACTTTCTAATGTTATCCGTCTGGAAGGAAATACTAGCCAAAAACCAAAACGTCATTATTGATGATTTGCTGATATATCAGCATACAATGTACACTGTTGAGTTTTCAGAGTAGATTTGCAGAGTAGAGACAGCCTGAGTCGCAGGTCGCGCTCTCCGTACGAGGAAAATATACGCCGAGTCGTTGCAAAATTTAATAAAATCACATCACGAGTCCACGCGTTCCGTGTTGCCACTTTCGAGAAGGCCGGCGAGTGGGGTCCGGCCGGAGAGGATGGAAAGCGAGAGTGGGATGTGATGTGTGTGTGTGTGTGTGTGTGTGAGAGAGAGAGAGAAAGAAGGGGGGAGAGAAAAAGAGAGAGGGACCAAGAGACCTGAAGGATAGGAGATGAAGAGAGAGGGAGGGGGGACCAGAGCCATTGTGGAGGCTGGGCGAGAGGAACAGAACGGGAGAACGGCTAACCGGGCGGGGAATGAATGAAATTTTTAGGTAACAGATGGTGAATAAAATAAGGAGGCAGCGGGGGAGGCAGAAGCAAGCTGTGCTGAGCTGTTAGGCCGAGCTGGACAGTGTGAAGGAGACGGAGGTAGGGCGGAGAGAGAGGGAGAGACGCGGGAGAAAATAGACTGACGGAGATAGAGAAAAGAGGGGAGGATGGCGGCTGCGGGGGTTGGGGGCTGCTTGAAAAGTTTTTCTTGTACCCTCTGCGATCGATGTACGAGGTGTGCGCAGCTGGCCAACATACGGTACACAGTCAATTAGTCGACACGAAACAGGACTTTCCGAAACTTTTGCTTCCAAAATTAAAATTCTTAGACGAGAGTGGAGAACAGTGCGGCATGCCGTAGTGACTGACGATAACGGACCCCAGGAACAAACGGCTCCGGGACGGGGGGACGGGGGCTCTACTGCTAGCCGGGCATGTGTGCGCAACGGAAGTCCCAGAAATAATAACTTTCTTCCCCGGACACAGCTCGCCGTGGTCCAGGCGGGTCGGGGGGCCTTGCGGGAGGGGACGAGGAGGGGTTCGATACATAGTATTTTTGCACATCGCACGGACCACTGGAGAGGGGCATTGTGATTTACGGACACTGTCCGACCGGGGGCCGGCGGCGGCCTGGGAGAGCGGGGGGAGGCCTTCGCACACGAGCAGCAGAGCGCAGGTGGCCCAGTGTGAGGAAGGGTCGCGTGGGAAGAGAGAGAGAGAGAGACAGAGAGAGAGAGAGAGAGAATGTGTGTTGTGCGACGCGAGGAGAGACAACGCTGCAGCAGCCGAGTGAATCACAGAGCGCGGGGAAGATGACAACCCCCCCCCCCAAAAAAAAAAAAAAAATCAAAAAAAATAACCAAACAAAAACGAGAGCTTCTCGCTCCCCAACGTCTCTCGAGCCGCTCATCGAAGATCAGAAGCGAGGAATTTCGATTCTTTGGTTTGTACGCAGCCGAGCGTTCGTTGGATGCGATAAATCCGTGGCGTAGAGTAGTGGAGGAGGGGAGGCCGGATGAGAGAGGGAGGGAAGGCGAGGGCGGTGGGGAGGGGAGGGGCGCCGGCCCGCTCATGCATAGTATCACGGGATATCCTTCCTTCCAGGAGGCGTCCCTCTCTGTTCGAGCACCGTAAAATAGGAAGGGCGGGCGGCCCGGGTATCCCAGCTCCCATCCACACAATTTCAATGTCCACACGGCGGCGGGTCCCCGGGCCGCTGCTCTGGCCGCCCAACTCCTTGTTGGGGTCTTCTCCTTCCCTCCTCCCCACACTGCTGCCCCCTTCCGAGTCGCACGCTCCCCGAAGGGCTCCGCGCACGCACGCTCGCACGCGCACACGCGCGCACGCGCGCACGTACACTGGCTGCTGCGGCGGCGGCTCATATGTGACGGCCTGTATCTAAATCTTTCTTTTCTCTCATATGTGGGCTGAGCGGCGCTGTGTGGCCGGCTAGTGTTTATAGAGCCGACTCCCCCTACTACCCCAACTCCTCGTCCTTTCCTGGACCTTACATCAGAGCGCACCCGGGCAGGGCGTGAGAGAGAGAGAGAGAGAGAGAGAGAGAGAGAGAGAGAGAGAGAGAGAGAGCAAGGAACAGGGGGGCGGATGGCAAAGAGGGGGAGGAGTGGGTGATGGTTCGCAATAGCTCCCCCCTCCGGTCCACTAGTCCACTGCCAATAAGGCGCGCACGCCCGCGGCCTGTGTGGATAGGCTCCGGCCAAAGGCCTCCACCGCCCCCCACCCGCACACCCGCCCGCTGCCCGCCCTCCCGATCCCGATCGGAACGCTGTTGACTTTTCACCCAAAACAGTCAGCATTTGTTTGGGCGCCGCCGCAAAAACGTTTGGGTGGAGGAAAGAAATACGGCAGCGCCGAGTCGGATAGCGAGTCGGCCCGCTCCGAACATTGAGCACAGCGCGGCTACGAAGCACAGTACTCTTTAAAACAAATCCATCGAAATAAGTCTTTTAACTAAACAGTGCTCACTGTATACTGGGCGGCGTTCTTATTCTTCTCAGAGCGCCAAATATTGGCGTCTTTGAAGTCCATATGTTGGCGTTCCTCTTCTTAAAACACCAAATACTGCCTTCTTTGAACACCAAGACTTGGCGTTATTCAGAGAACGCGAAAATTTTGGCGGCATAAGACGCCAACCAGTTTTCAGTGCTTATTACTAGGATCGGTACTCTAAGCCTGTACTGTCAGAAAAAAGCACAGACGTACGGGTTCACAGTGAAAAGGGACAATTTTGTGCCAAAAAGGAAATTCCGAGGGGGCAATAACTCCGGGAATCATGTGTACACCTGTCTGGGAATCATCAGGATAAAAATTGATCAAAATCAATAGAAATCGCTTAGAATATGCGGGAAACAAGAGAATTAAGTACAAATCAGTCGAAATAAGCGTTTTGCACCACTAAAACCCCCCGAAAAAACTATGAAATAATTATAAGCGGACGGGAATCACCGGGAATCAAGAATTTCGGGAATCATGTGTACACTTCAAAAGAGAGTTATTGCCCCCTCGGGAAATTCGCATCCTCACAGGGTGCATCCTATAGGATCCTATAGGCTGTCAGTCTCCGGTGCTGCTGGAATTTTGGGGGGGAAGGTACAAAATTTCGTAGTACACACACAAACACAAAATGCTGAGCACTTCCTTAAAAAGAAGTACAACGATCATGTACCTCACCTCCACAGACCTACCTCTTTTGGTACAATATTTTTTGACAGCGTGGGTGGATATCAGAGGGCACGGCTCAGCCGGCCCCCGCCTGCTTACGGTTAGGGTGGCGGACCTGGCAGAGGTCCTTATCTCTGGCTCAGAGCGGCCAGACTCATATCCGGCGACAAGGACGGACACACGCGCGCGCGCGCGCACACGTACACACACACACGCGCACGCACACAGCGGAGGGGGTGGAAAGCGGATGGAGGCAAGAAGGAAGGCCCACAAGTTTTGGTGAGGGGTCGCCTCACCTTCGTCACCTCGCCGCCGCCTGTGCGACCTTACATCCAGACATATGCCAGCGGCACCGCAATGGATGGCCCGTCCGCCCCCGACCCCAGAGCAGCAAGCAAGCCGGCAAGGGGCCGGGTCACACAAGGCAAATCAATTCGATTTTTTTTTTTTACCTACTGACCCGCTGCAATTAATCTAGTTAACGAGAATCGAGACAAGAGTGCGATAGTAGCCCTGCGGCTAACTAGATCTGATTAGGAAATTGAAAGAGGAAATATGGTAAGTTAGAACTTCAATAGTCCTCGTTGGACTGTCCGTCAAAGAAAATTGAATTGGGACAGCAGATATGAGACACGATACGGTATATTGAAGCGAGCCTTTGGGCTTTGGGACTTTCCCCTCTCCCCATTCCCTCCCTCTCTCTCAGGATCCGGGGTGCACCATCAGGCC